ACCCTACGTACCCAAACCTACTCTAACCTACTCTATGATACTCGACCCTACCTTAGCCAGCTCTACTCTACTCTACTCTACTCTACTCTACTCTACTCTACTCTACTCTACTCTACTCTACTCTATCCTAATCCTTGCTCCTCGGGCAAACAATTGTTGCGAAACTCTACGCGCGCCCAAAGTATTAACATCGGCACTCAGCATGGCCGCATTGCCCGCGTGGGTGGCGGTGATTGGGCTCGCGAGCGACGCCCGAGGGGCACGACGCTTCTCGCGGGCAGCCCGTGAGAAGCCGCCCGGGGCGCCTGGGGCCGCGACGCGCTCGACTGCTGAGTGGCGGAGGCGCAGAGTCGGAGTAAAACCTAAGCTGAACGCTCGGAAGCACGGGGACATCACGTCTGCGGGCTTCACTGGCGCCGTCTCCCCAACATCATCGCCCCGTATCCCGGAGGTCCCGGAGGCGCCGGCCTCGTCGAGATCGCTCCTTCCGAACCGGCTGGCCGCGCGCCAGGTCGTCAAACTGGCAGAGGCCGCCACTGGCTCAAGAGAGAGAGAGAGAGGAGAAGCGAGACCCTTCGTCGCCTTTGAGCTTGTCGGGGAGGTGCGGCGCCGTGTGCCGCGGCCCCTGTGCGCGCAGGTCTTTCGCGTTGCGCGCTTCTTTGAGCGCGCCCAGCGGGGTCGGGCCACGCGGCCGAGCGCCACGCGGGGCGATGCGATCGCCCGGCGGTTGCAAGATCGACATCCGGGATTGAGAAGGCCTGCCGCTGCCGCCTTCGCAGATGCAGCCTTTCTCGGAACGTGTTCTGGCGCGACGCAGGCAATTGAGAGAGCGAACCGACTCCACTAGACGCTGGTCTCGATGCCCGGCATGCCCGCGCATTCCTCGTCGCTGGCGCCTAGGCCCCGCGGCAGGGCCCTTCGCCGACCGAGCTGGCAAAGGGGGAGGATCGCCGTGCCGCCGCTGGCCATGGCCACGGACCGCGGCGTTCAAATCTCAGATCCCGAGGCACCCGACTGGAGGCTCCTACCTGCGACCGAGGGTTTCCATGGGGAACGATCAGGTACTCGCCCTCGCCTTGGCCCCCACAGGTCTGCCTCGCACCTTTGCCGTCGTCGCCGCCGTCGCCGCCGTCGCCGCGGCCGCCTCCATTGGGCCCCTTCGGACCCATGGGGCCGCCGCGCCCTCGCGCAGCATGCGCATCTGCTTGAGGGCGTAGGCGCGCTGGCGCTGCTTCTCCGCGATCCACTTCGCAAGCTTTGGAGCGGCTGCGCTTCCCCTGTCTCCGTCGAGCCAGCCGGCATGTAGCCGAGCCCGCGGTGGTCGGGATGTTTGGCGTCCTTCTCGACCGCGTGCCCATGCTGGATGAGCCGCCTGATGAGATGCTCGCCCATGGCCGAATTTGCCAAGTCGCACTGGTCATTCGCGACCCCGAGACGCACCGCCCCCAGGATGACATGCGATGCCACTGTTGGCCGAAAAGCCCGAGGCTGTGTACCAGGTGTGATGACACGCGTCGAACGAGCCGTCCGTCGTCTCCAGTATCCCGTCCACGCACTCTTTGGTGGCGCGCGGATCTGCGAAGGGGGAATCGTCAAACTTCGTCTCATCACGCTTCCTGACTGCCAGGAAAAATAGCTTCTTTCCTCCTGCGGTCCTGTAGGTGCCGAGCAGACGAAAGTCACCTCCTCCATCTCGCTTGCTCTTCCAATCCTCGAGCTCAGTGGCGTTGACCTCTCCGGGTGCACCTCAGAGCTCGCATCACTGGCGCCGGGCTGGATCACCCTAGTGGTCTCTCGGTGCAGCGCGCGCCCAGCATCGTCCAGGATGCCCGGCTCGACCTGCTCGCCGAACTGCGGGTGAGTGGTGTCGCTGATGACCCACGTCCCCTCCGAATCAACTTCGGTGTCCTCACCTGAGATGTCTGTCAACACCTTCGCACGGGCGATGGCCTCGGTGAGCTCCCGCACATGGATCGGGTCGAAGAGGAAGCAATAATTGCGACAACGATCTGGCGTTTCGAGCCTGACCGTCGCAGTGTCCAGGATCTTCCCCCGCAGGCGTGAGACCAACACAACTCCCAGCAACAACCAGTATCAACAGAATCCTACGAGGCCGGGTATCTTTGGATCATCGCTGTACCGAACAGAATTTGACGCTCCTTGATATCTAACGTACCCATTGCGTCGATTCAGCAGGTCAAAGGTCGAGGGCGTGACAGGCCCAATGCGAGGCCGACTGGCTAGTGTCTGATTTTGAAACGGAGGCGCACGTGCTGGTCGACGATGGGTGTAATGTCCAAGCAGGAACCCAGTCAGAAAGCTGACCTAACCGAAACTCAAGACCACGCTGACACATACATGTGTCGACATGGATGCGTTCAGTTGCGCCGGTACAACCTCCAGCTGACGTGTCAACATCTTTTCGATACGGTGACAGCCTGACTCCTGAACTGCTTCAGAAGAGGACAAGACTGAGTACAGAACGTGAAGTCTGTCCTGAGGGAAAGTCGTTTTGCCCGAAACTGCGGCCCGGGGGGGGGCTTCCTCGAGCCAAAAAGCGATTACGGACACAACCTTCAAGTCTTGCGCGGAAAACCGCAGCTAAACAATGTTCGCTCAAAAGAGGTTAGTTTTTCGCGGGGACAAGTCGTGCCGTGTCCGACGGGCTCATTCTCTTTGGAAACGCGCAAAAACTAACATAACGTGCACTGGCCTTACAGCGTGGAGGCACGCCCATCCGCCCACCATAATCATACAGAACGCAAGCCATAACGAATCAGAAATTGGCAATGCCAGCACCACTGTGGTCCCGCAGGATGTGCGTGCTCCAACATCCAGCAACGGGGGCGACAGAGAGGACGGCCATTGCCTCCGCATTGGACGCGCGCTCCAATGTCCACTCGCACGGGCAACGGGCGAAGGAAACTGCATAGTGACTGTCCATCGCCTGGGGGCCGCCCAGGTGAAGTCGGAGCAGATGGGGTCGGAGAACCTCGCCGCATCTCCGATGCATCAACGATGCGGCACGATCCTCCGACACACCTGCGCAGTGCGACCCCATCTGGGCTGCCTGGACCACGGAGCCTACGACGCAGGAAGGGACTAACAAAGAGCTCCGATGACCTTACCTTCTTCGAGCCACACGTACCCTGGACCTCTCGACCCCTTCCCCCAGGGCCGGCCTCTTATCCTGACACGTTTCTTGACGTTCTCCGGGCCCAGGCGCCACAGACGTAGAGCGACAGCCCTTGCAGCAGAAGGCACTGAACAACACCGCGCAGCCACGATGGGGGTCCACGATGGGCCACCGATTTCGGTGGCCCAGCATCAAGATGAACATAGACCTCCTACAGACCCTGACATGCGCCAAACACACTTTTCAATCCGCGGCGACAGAGGTCCCGACCGCTTCCCCAGTGGTAGTTTTTCGTCCCGGATCCCTCAGTCCGAAATCGATGAAGAACCTCTAGTGGAGAAGAAACATATCGTGGGATATCACAAGGACAAACTGTTTAGGGAAACGTCTCCAGCGCGATCGCGACTCCGCCGTGGGCAGGCCACATGGGGCCAGAAAGGAAAAAAAGAGACGGAGGGGCAGGCATGAAGCCCGCCAGGCGCACCTCCTCAACAGCCGTGAGCTCCTCGTCCGGGATCTGCAGGTACCTGCCCGTCCTCCCTCCACCATCCTCAGTCCTCCCCGTTCGAATATTTGGGCCTCCCTCGTCGTTCAACGTCTGTAGCACTCTTTTATGTGACTCTTGCTGTGTGCATGATTCCTTCAGAACTGGCGATAGTTATGTGACATATTCGCCGCGCCACCCGCCCATGTTATCTCTTGGACCATTGGTTTTACACGGAAGACGTGTTCGCCCAAGCCCCTTCAACGACGACCCTCTCCTCTCCTTGAGGCCTCCCAAATGAGGTCCGAGCAGGTGGGATCGGAAGATCGCGCCGCATCGCCGATGCATCGGCGATGCGTCGTCGACGTCGGCAATGTACCAACGACATCAGATTGGAGAAGATCGGGCTCCACATGGAGTCGCATCGGCGATGCATCGGCGATCCGGAACGATCCACCGACCCCATATGTTTCGGCCCCATGTGGGCGGCCTGGATCTGCTCCCTACCCCCAGGACCTCTGGCGATTCGAAAGAGAGCGCACCAGAGGTTCTTCTAACTTTCGGCGTCCGCGGGGCTGTTTTCGGCATACGCGGGGCTGGTTGGACAATTCGAGTCGCCAGGGGCATGGGTCCTTTTCCCTCCGCGCCGTCTCTGTTTCTCTCTCCCTGTCCCTCACTTTATCCTCCCTTCCGCTTCTTCCTTTTCACCTTCTCCTTCTCCTCATTACCCTATATCCTGCTGCTCTTGCTGCTCCATCTCCTCGCCCTATCCCTCCCCGTTGCATCATCATGAGCGTTGTCCTTCCCGGTCTCTGCAACCTCCTAAGTCTAGTTGGGGAGCTAATTGGGGAGCTAATTGGGGAGCTCCTCTCCTTTGATCGATCTCCTCCAAGATGGCCACAAGATGGCCCTCAAGGCTCCCCAGGGGTGACCCAAGACCCTCAGAGGTGTCCAGGAGGCCCCAAATTTTGGCCACATGTTGGCTTCCTGGAGGGAGGGGATCCTAAGTGCCCAGGTGGCCCCAAGAGGCCCCCAGGATGCCCCCAAGACGCCCTCCCACGAGACCTCCCAGAAACATCCAGGACGCCCCAAGAGGCAAGAGGTTCCCGGGACTGCCAGGAGACCCTCAAGACGCCCAAAACGGACCACCCCAAAATCTCGAAATAAATCCGCAATGACTCGATCCGTGAGGCATCTAAGAGGCCACTGGCCTTTCTGCTCGCTCTCCTCCTCCTCCTTCTCCTCCCATTCCTCCTCCTTCATCCTCCCTCCTCCTGCTCCTCCTTCTCCTCCTCCTCCGCTGCCTCCTCCTCCTCCTCCTCCTCCGTCTCCTCCATCCTGGCCCTCTTCGGGTACGAACTCTCTCCTAGCCTATATTCCATTGCATTCTCCTCCGCATCGTTTGAACATCGTTTCTGGATGGGCTGGTGGGGTTATGCGAAGCGTCTAGAATTAGACCTGTGAAGACCGCACATTGTTCTCCAACTGCAAGAAGGCTTCGACGGCCAGTAACAGTGGGCTTCAGTCCTCGTCATCTTCGAGGCAGCGATCAGTGAGCGAAGCAGGCCTGGTCTGCGGCGCCCTTCAGCACTCGCAGGCACTCCCCGGAGGCGGCGGACCAGACCCTCGCCGTCCGGTCCGCGGAGACCGTCAGCGCCTCCTGCCCGTCTGGCGAGAAGACGGCGGACAGCACGGAGCCCGGGTGGCACTCCAGAGTGCACGAGCACTCCCCCGACGGGGCGGCCCAGACTCTCGCCGTCCCGTCCGCGGAGGCCGTCAGCACCTCCCGCCCGTCCGGCGAGAAGGCGGCGGAGCGCAGCGGGCCGTGGTGGCCCTCCAGCGTGCGCAGGCACTCCCCCGAGGCCGCAGACCAGAGCTTCGCCGTCCGATCCAGAGAGGCCGTCAGCACCTCCCGACCTTGCCGTCGCTCGGACGTCCGTTCTCCGTGCATTTGTCGGTTTCGCGCGTGCTTCTTGTTGCTCGATGGTCTTGGATGGTCCTCGAGGGTCCTCGCCGAGAACAAGAATGCACACGTCCGAGCGATGCCGAGCGACCGTCTGGCGAGAAGGTCGCGGCGTCGACCCTACCTCGGTGGCCCTCCAGCGTGCGCAGGCACTGCCCGGAGGCCGAGGACCAGAGCTTCGCCGTGCAGTCCCACGAGGCCGTCAGCGCCTCCCGCCCGCTCGGCGAGAAGACGGCGGACATCACGGAGCTCCGGTGGCCCCGCAGCGCGTGCAGGCATCCCCCGGAGGCACTGGACCAAATGTTTGCCGTCCCGTCCGATGAGGCCGTCAGCGCCCTCTGCCCATCTGGCGAGAAGACGCCAGTGCGAACCACGCCCATGTGGCCCTCCAGGGTGCACAGGCACGCGCCGGATGCCACAGACCAAATCTTCCCGGCCTGGTCCCACGAGACCGTGAGCACTCCCCGCCCATCTGGCGAGAATGCAGCGGACATGACGTCGCCACGGTGGCCCTCCAGCGTGTGCAGGCACTCCCAGGAGGTGGCGGACCAGATCTTTGCCGTCTGGTCTGCAGAGATCGTCAGCATCGCCAGCCCATCCAGCGCGAAGACGGCGGAGTAAACAATGCCCTGGTGGCCCGCCAGCGTCCGCAGGCACTCCCCAGAGCCGACGGACCATATCCTGACCAGATTGGCGCTGCAGGCCGCTATGCGACTTGCCTCAGAGGGCAGGATAACCACCCTCATAAGAAGCACCCAGACGAACGAAGCCCTTTGGTAAACGTACCTACGCAAGGAATCGAACAAGGCAGGGCTATTTAGTAAACGCCCAGGGATGTCCAGTAAACGCCTCTCATGGGGGTCGGGATGGCTTTTCTTTCCTGGATGCCTCGCTCACCACCAGGGCCAACTCGCTGCCGCCTTCAGCTCCGACCTCGCCCAGCGTCGCGCTCCCGCGCAGCTCGACCCTCCCCAGGAACACGCGCCGCCTGCACCCCAGCGCGCTGTCGGGCCGGGCCAAAGGGGGGGGATAGCAAAGGGGGGGTTTGAGAATCAGCTCACGCAGCTCCTTTTCCCGGCGCCTCCTGGCGCCCGAGGCGGCCCTGTATCGAGGAATGGGCCCCTCGGTGGGGCCGAAAGCAGCTGCATGCAGCAGATTTCGTACCCCCCCCTTTCCCTATCCTTAGGTCGGGCCTGTCCCCCTACAGGGGGATTTTCGACGAACAATTAAAAATTATCCTGGCGAAAGACCCAACCATAAGCAATTGTTGGTAACGCGTTGTGGGTGCCGCTTTCGGTGGGGCTCCATATGGGGCCACGAAGCGCTGCCTTGGATAGGGGGAACCGCATGCGGACTGCGCCACCGGGGCGGGCCTTCGGTGGAGCTCCCTATGGGGCTACGAAACGCTGCCCTGGGTGGGGGAACCGCATGCGAACTGCGCCACTGGGGCCTTCGGTGGAGCTCCCTATGGTGCCACGAAACGCTGCCCTGGGTGGGGGAAGCGCTGCGAACTGCGCCACGGGGGCTTTCGGTGGAGCTCCCCATGGGGCCACGAAGCGCTGCCCTGGGTGGGGGAACCGCATGCGACAGCCACTGGGGCCTCGGTGGAGCTCCCTATGGGGCCACGAAACGCTGCCCTGGGTGGGGGAACCGCATGCGAACACCCCCACTGGGGCCTTCGGTGGAGCTCCCTATGGGGCTACGAAACGCTGCCCTGGGTGGGGGAACCGCATGCGAACACCCCCACTGGGGCCTTCGGTGGAGCTCCCTATGGGGCCACGAAACGCTGCCCTGGGTGGGGGAACCGCATGCGAACACCCCCACTGGGGCCTTCGGTGGAGCTCCCTATGGGGCCACGAAACGCTGCCCTGGGTGGGGGAACCGCATGCGAACACCCCCACTGGGGCCTTCGGTGGAGCTCCCTATGGGGCCACGAAACGCTGCCCTGGGTGGGGGAACCGCATGCGAACACCCCCACTGGGGCCTTCGGTGGAGCTCCCTATGGGGCACGAAACGCTGCCCTGGGTGGGGGAACCGCATGCGAACACCCCCACTGGGGCCTTCGGTGGAGCTCCCTATGGGGCCACGAAACGCTGCCCTGGGTGGGGGAACCGCATGCGAACACCCCCACTGGGGCCTTCGGTGGAGCTCCCTATGGGGCCACGAAACGCTGCCCTGGGTGGGGGAACCGCATGCGAACACCCCCACTGGGGCCTTCGGTGGAGCTCCCTATGGGGCTACGAAACGCTGCCCTGGGTGGGGGAACCGCATGCGACTGGGGCCTTCGGTGGAGCTCCCTATGGGGACGAACGCTGCCCTGGGTGGGGGAACCGCATGCGAACACCCCCACTGGGGCCTTCGGTGGAGCTCCCTATGGGGCCACGAAACGCTGCCCTGGGTGGGGGAACCGCATGCGAACACCCCCACTGGGGCCTTCGGTGGAGCTCCCTATGGGGCCACGAAACGCTGCCCTGGGTGGGGGAACCGCATGCGAACACCCCCACTGGGGCCTTCGGTGGAGCTCCCTATGGGGCTACGAAACGCGTGAGAGGTGTGCCGAGAGCAGAGGCAAGGAGGGGGAGGAGGGAGGAGGGGGAAGAGGAGGAGAGGAGAGGACGCGGGCACCGTCTCTTCAAAACGAGGACCCAACACCACAGGATGGTTGGGAAAAACCCAAACATAATCAAAATAGTCCAAACATAGTCTGGGGACTATTTTTTGATTATTTTTTGACCTTTTGGGGGTATTTGTGGGGTATTCTTTATTCTTCGTCGAAGCTCCCCCTGTAGGGGGACACGCCCGACATAACTCTATCCCCCCCCCCTTTCGTCCGGCCCGACGCCGGCCCGCTCGGGGACCGCCGCCAGCACGTCGCCCAGGCGCCACGACGGAGAGGCGTCCACGGCAGCCAGCTCGCGCCCGCTGCACGCGACCCCTTGGCGGCGCGCCCCCGGGGAGGGGGGGGGGGGAGGCCGAGGGGGGGCGGGCCTCCCCGGAAGGCCCAGCAGGCCTCCGGCCCCACGAGAAGCCAGGAGGAGGGAGGAGGAGGGAGGAGGAGGGAGGAGAGGGGAGAGGGAGGAGGAGGGGGAGGAGGAGGAGGAGGAGGAGGGAGGAGGGAGGAGGGAGGAGGAGGAGGAGGGAAGGAGGAGGAGGAGGAGGAGGGAGAGGAGGGAGGAGGAGGGAGGGAGGAGGGAGGAGGAGGGAGGAGGAAGGAGGAAGGAAGGAGAGGAGAGGAGGAGGAGGAGGATGAGGAGAGGAGGAGGGGAGGAGGAGGAGGAGGAGGAGGGAGGAGGAGGAGGAGGAGGAGGACGGCTGCTGAGGCGCCCGGCCGCTTTCCGAGAAGGCCTGCCCCCCCCCCCCCCCCCCTCTCGCGGGTGTCCAAGAAGTGGGCGTCTCAGGGGAGGTGTGCGCGGACGAGCGGGGACCAGGGGACATGTTGAGAGAGCACGAGGGGGCCATGACACCTGGGGAGGCATCCTGGCTCCGGCCATGATATGCAGCCCAACCAGTCTCAGACCCCCACGTCGTGCTCTTTTGATTACGTGGGCCCCCAGAGGTCTAGGCCGCTCCCCTCGGACACATTTCTCATCCCGAATTGTTTCTTGACGGTCACGAGACCCGGTGCGAGCCACCAGAGGCCGGAACAAAACACCTCCCGCCGCGGTTTCCTCGCCGCGGGGGGGTCACCACTCTACTCTTGGCCACCCCCCCCTCGCACTGCTCCGCCCCATCGGTACGCCGCCGAATCACAGTGATCCGCATGGCGCCCGGGCCCGACGTCACCGGGGCACGCTGACACGCCACCGCCGCGACGCGCAACGCAGGTCGGCGACCCGCGAGGCGCTCGGCGTCGGCTGCGGGTCCCGGCGTCTCGGGCCGGTGCCTTGGGCCAACACGTCCACGGACTCAGAGGACCCGCACGATGGGGTCCTAGACGATGGGGTCGGAAGATCGCGCCGCATCGCAGATGCATCGCCGATTCGTGGACGTCGACATGCAGAGAACCGGGCTCCACATCGAGCCGCATCGCCGACGCATCGGCGATGCGGCGCGAACTTTGGACCCCATCTTCTCGGACCCCGTTTGGGAGGCCTGGAGGAATCCCACTCCTACTCCTCCTCCTTCTCCTCCTCCTTCTTTGTGATTCCGGCCCCCCTCTGGCCTCCAGCGTCACGCAAAAATCTGGACGTCTGCTTTTTCATTGTTCTGGGCGCTCGCAGGCCCATGAACCCACCCTCTGTGGCCGTGAGCAACAATCTGGGTTGAAAAACTGGCCCCAAAGGATGAGGTCGAGAGACCCCAAAGGCCGCGCCGCAATCAAACCATGGCGTCAAGATATATGGGCCCCGCCTGGCGCCTTCTCGTCCTTTTGCTGCTCTTGCTTTCTGCTGTGCCCTCGAGGCCCACCTCGTCGCCACGGCTCGACTCGGCTCCGAGAACTGGACAACGGGTGCGGGGGTCGACTTTGGATCGGCGCCCTCAGGAGTATCTGGGGGGAGGGGGCAGAACATACACCAATACCGCACTTTCCTGGACCTCTCCTGGGGTGCGTTCTGGCCGGAATTCCGAGGAGACTCCAGCCGTGGCAACGAAGGGCCTCCCAGGAGGTCCAAAGAGGCACACACAAAGGGCAGGGTCGCGGTCTCGGTGCCTCTTCCCCCTCGGAGATCCAAGCGGCCCGCCCCGCCGTTCACGCTCTCAGCCCCTGCAGGGCCCCCCCCTCGGGCCCCGCGAAGAGACGCCCCGTGAGGAGTCGAGTCCATGCGAGGAGGACGGGGTCGGAAGCCCTCCGCGGGGGTTGGATCTGAGCAGGGCGGCGAAGGGGTCCGCGTGGCCAGGCTGGCCCGGTGCGGGGTGGGGGGGGGGCGGGCACCGCGACAGGTCGGAGCGCACCACGCGAATGATGATCAGCAGGAAGAGCGAGAGGATCAGGAGCATCAGCACGAACGAGTTTATGATGGCGAGCCAGTGGATGTCCTCCGCCCGCTGGTCTGCCGCCGCGAGCGCGGAGGTGCGCGGAGGGCGGCCGCGCCGAAGCGACGTCCCCCCAGAGGCGCTGCACGGCGCCTCTGGGCCCTACGCGAGGAGTAAGAAGTCTTAGAGCCAAAGCGCATTGGCGCTGGCGCATCCCCAAGCCGACGTGCAAGTCCCCTGGTGCTCGCAAGCCTGTGAATCAGGACACTTCGAGGTGGACCTGCCGGGAGGACGAGCTCTTTATCCTCGGCAAGTGGGCTGCGAGGTGCGCAACCCCTCCCACCCCGCGGAGGAGCGCCGCCAATACGCCTCAGGAGTAGGGATTCCCCCCTGAGCACTGGGCCTGGCGCACCGATGATGCTGGAGGGCATCGCGATCGTCATCAGTGGCGTTCCCCCAGGGGAGGCGCTTGTCTCCATCGGGCCAGGACTGTGCGGCGCGAAGAGGAGGGCACGGTCAAGGTGGCGGCCCTCGACGAAGGCCTCCCCCCACCTCGTAGAAGATGCCAACCCATTGCCTTTGGGCGTCCAGGAGCCGCCCGCCGCTTCGAGGCTGCCCTTCCCCTCAGGAACGTCCCTCGTAGAAGCTGCCCGCCTCTCAGAAGCCGCTCTGCGACCAGGAACATGAGCTTTCAAGGGGCTGGTCCCTTCTGAGTACTTTTTCGTGACGGCCCCGGTGTTACTTTTGAACACCGCGCGGATCGCTCAGCCTTGAACGATCGGCGGCTGCTCAGTCGCCAAATCGTTCAATTTTGGCCGATCCCTGGGCCACTGGCGGCGTTCAACCTTGAACGCCCATGCTGGGGTTGCAGCCGCGTTGACACGACAGGAACCTGCCGCACCACCCTGGCCTCTTAGAGAAAGTTCCCCCTATCGCCCCAGCCCCCCCTGCTCGCCGCCAGGGAACCAGATCTAGATCAATCACCGCAGCGTCCGTCACCACCGCCACCAACGACGCCATCGACATCCTCACCGCTGTCACAACAGTCAGCACCGCAACTCGGCTCGGCCAAGGTCCATGTTCTGGTGACCGTGCGGCATGGTAGACTTCAGCTGAAGCTCGAGGGCCTCTGTGCGGGCCAGCGGCCCCGGCCCCCCTTTCCCTTACTCCTTCGCTTCCCTGCCTCCTCGCGACTCCTATGCCAGGGGTGTCCTAGGTCCTACGCTCGGGAAAACCGAAAACGTTCACCCCACAATTCCCGGTGCGGCGTCGCAAGTGTCCGCGGTTCCAGCCACAGCGAGCGACAAGAACTGGCCCCTGGGCATCCGGAGCTGGGTCCTTGCTGTCCAGGGCACGTCTCTGTCCTCAGTTCTGCACTGTGCCCCATGTGGTATCCCCCCCGTGGCATTCCACCACCACCACCAACAACAACACCACCACCGCCGCCGCCGCCACCGCCACCGCCGACGCCGACGCCGCCGCCGCCACCACCACCGCCACCACCACCACCACGGGTGACATCACAGAACCGCACACCCCCATGTGGTATGTAGCCTACCCTCGGGACATTCCACCCACCCCTAAGTGGCATTGTTTGGCCTCCCCATCGCTCGCAGGCCACTCTCTGTCTGTCTGTCTGTCTGCCTGTCTGTCTCTGTCTGTCTGTCTGTCTGCCTGCCTGCCTGTCTGTCGGTCGGTCTGTCTGTCTGTTTGTCTGTCTGTCTGTCTGTCTGTCTGTCTGTCTGTCTGTCTGTCTCTGTCTGTCCGTCTTTCTATCTGTCTGCCTGTCTGTCCGTCTATCTGTCTGTCTATCTGTCCATCCGTCTATCCTGCTCCTGTTCCTCCTTCTCCTACTCCTCCTCCTGCTCCGCCTCCTACTCCCCCTGAACTGACCAATTCGTTTGTCTGACACACGTACTCTGCATCCCACACCAAACCCAATGTCGACGAGTATCAATGCAGAGTTCGACAAGCTCATATTTCAATTACACTTGCGATTTGTATGCAATCTCCCGCGCGGGCTCACGGCTTGCAGCTTGCTTCCAGCATCCAGATGTTCCACGCAGAGTCGACATGGTCGCGAGGAGTGCTGGTTTTGGAAACAATCCTCCTCCTCCTGCTGCTTCACCTCCTGTTCTTACTTATCCTTCCTATTCCTCGCTGCGCCTTGGCGGGCTCGATGTGCGGAGAGTCGGCCCAGTGCACAGAATAGGCGAACTCCACGGTCATGCCCTCCTCGCGCGCTGTGCGGGGGAGGGGGCGCCTCCCAGGTCAGAACCGACCCCCCTAGCAGCATGTCTTTCGCGAGCGGCGCACATGTCCTGACTACCTACCAGACCACCCCAACCCAACCCGAAGACCCGCATCTCGGATTGGCGGGGGGCAAGGGTTCCACATCCGTTTTCTCGATGTTTCCCGACCCCCCCCAACTGGAAATCGAGGATAAATCTGAGCCTTCGGGTTGGGTTGGGGTGGTCTGGTGAGCGGCGAACGTGTCCATATCCACGCCCTCGCGGCCAAGACTCCCAGGCGCGCTCGCGTGGCCACGCGGTCGTGTGGGTACGTTCCGCGCGGGGCAGCCGCGAAGACGCGGCCCGCGTCCAAGGGGACGCGGTCCAGGGGCCGGGCCCGCGAGGTCGTGGACGTCGTCGTCATCGTCCTCGTCCTCCTCCTCTTGATCCTCCTGCTCCTCCTCCTCCTCCTCCTCCTCCTCCTCTTGATCCTCCTCCTCCTCCTCCTCTTGATCCTCCTCCTCCTCCTCCTCCTCCTCCTCCTCCTCCTCCTCCTCCCCTCCTCCTGCTCCTCCTCCTCCTCCTGCTCCTCCTCTTGATCCTCCTGCTCCTCCTCCTCGTCCTCCTCCTCCTCCTCCTCCTCCTCCTCTTGATCCTCCTGCTCTTCCTCCTCCTCCTCCTCCTCCTCCTCCTCCTCCTCCTCCTCCTCCTCCTCCTCCTTGATAGAGCCGCTCTCGACAGAATTCTTCACGCATGCTCGGATCGAGCGGGGCATCCGCGAACGGCGACACGCTATGCGCTGCAAGCGAACAGCGTGCCGCTCCGCTCCGCGTGGCGTGAGGCCGAGAAGGGCTCGCGACGTGGGCGCTTGGGGGCTGGGGCGTGCGCAGCGCGCCGCGCCGAGGCTTTGCAGGCCAGAGCCCGCGGCGCGACACACGCCGAGCCAGAGCTCTCGACCGTAGGATTCCTGCCGATCCGGGAGTTCTTCCCACAGTTCGGCCCCGCGGGGCCCCTTTCGGGCCCCTGGACCCTCAAATCCTGGATCTGGGGAGGAAGAGAACATGGCCCCAAGGCAGGTGTCGTCGGCTGCCTCGGGAGGGCCCTCCCCGAGGCCAGGAAGGGGCGCCATGGCGAAACTCCCTCCTCGCGTTTCCCCTCCCTTCCCCCCTGGCCTCACTCCCTCCCTCCTTCCCCTTGCTCCTGCCGCGTCGGGCGCTGTCGTCGCTGCGGCCGGGCGCGGCGCGGAAGACTGGCCCGGATGGCTCGGGGATCAAATCAGAGCGGGTTGCTGGGCCTGGCACAGCTCCCAGGCAGGAGGGGGGAGGAGGAAGGAGAAGGAGGGAGGAGGAGGAGGAGCGAAGGAGAGGGAGGACGGAGAAGGATGGAGGAGAGAGGAGGGAGGAGAAGGGAGGAGGAGGTAAACATGTAAGGGCGCGTATGGAACAGCAGTCCACAGAGGCGGCAGCTGCGACGAGCAGATCAATCGGATCAGTCTGGCGCGAGAGCATTGCTGGAGGAAGGGCCACGCCACGATCAAATAGTTGACCGAGTAAGAAGAGGCCAGACCGAAGAATGACCGCCACGCGATGGGCCGACTCAGAACAAGAAATTAGCCTGGCGAATGACCCAACCACATGCAATTGTGAGTACCGCGATTGTGAGTACCGTCTGAAGTGGAACTCGTGGAACTCCCCGTGGGGCAACGCCCGCATGCGGGCTGTGTCGCTGGGGGCTTAGGCGGAGCTCCCTGCGGGGCCCCGAA